TCAATCAACACAAGCACTAAATGAAATAACAGCAGAATTAATAAAAATCGTTGAATTGAAATTATCCAAGTAAAAAGAAAGAACTTATAGCTTTGATTCTGCTACCAACCACAGCTTGCAATGAACTGTATACTTGTCAAATTTATGAATGGAAAAGTTTTTAGATTTAGTGTGTATACGCCATGGCACATTACCGAGAAGACAATTCTCCAAAATGGAAAATCGTCAAACATCCATAGAAGAATATGAATTGCTACAACGACCTGGTAAAGTCCAAAACAAGTTCCCAACATGAGATAATTAGTATTTTCTTTGAATAGCTAATAAAACAATGGTAATAATTTCTCGCGCATACATACTATAGTGGCATGTTTAATGATCTTTCTCGTTAATACGGTATATTCTTCGACGAATTCAGCTGAAAGGAAGGAAATAGTCATTTGTAATATAATTTTCGACAAACTCAAATCAAAACGCGTTCAAAGATAATGTATAATGAATCATACCTAAATAATAGAGCCCACATGCTATATACAATTTGTAATTTAAAATAAATTTAAACAAAGAACGCTCGCCAGAATTTAGAAAAATCAATAATAAATGTGTTTTATACCTAAGCTTAGTACTACAAACAAGAACGCGAGCACTGCTGCCCCGTATGATAAAAGATGTAATAATGACATACGTTTTTGTATGCACTCGTCCTTCTATAGTTACAATTCCTCAAAATATTTACGGTTTCTTACAAGAGCATATTAAAAATCGATAAATGGTTCATTTAAGTGTAATGACTATCGTTGCTGACCAATCCGTCAGTACCAAGTTACTACATAGCATTATCTAGATTTTGTGTGACTGAAACACGTGAAGATTAATATTACCGTTACATATTGAAATGCATTATATACGTACTTATCAAAGAAATACATATTTAAAGACGTTGCCCTATATAGTGTATAATGGCCGGCAACGCACCTAAAGCAAGGACCATCGCCGTTTTAGGCTCTCGTGCTGTAGGCAAGTGAACCTTCTTCATTGCATTTCATAATTATAGGATTTTGCTGGTGTTACTTAACTGGCTTCTTTCCAAAGGTAAATCCTCCTTGACAATTCAATTTGTGGAAAACCATTTTGTTGATTCTTATTATCCTACCATCGAGAATACTTTCAACAAAGTTATAAGGTATAGAGGACAAGAGATTGCTGCAGAAATCATTGACACTGCTGGTCAGGTAATTATAAGTGCATTTTTTTTGTAATTTATTACTTGGTTCATTTCATTGAACAAGTTGAATTAAAATCCAAAATTTTCTTCGATTAGGATGAGCATTCAATTTTGAATTCTACACATGCCGTCGGAATACATGGCTATATTTTAGTATACTCGATTACTTCTAGACAAAGCTTCGAAATGGTGAAGATTATCAGGGATAAGATTTTGAATTTTACAGGAAGAGAAGCTGTTCCTATTGTTCTTGTTGGCAATAAAACAGATTTACATTTGCAAAGGTAATTATATATAAAGAAACGTCAAATTTTTGTTTAATTCTCTTATTCAATTCGTTTCTATTCATTACATTTATTGTTAAGGCAAGTGAATCCCGAAGAAGGTAGAGATTTGGCTTCACTATGGCATTGTGCATGGACTGAAGCTTCTGCCAAACATAATGAAAATATAAGTATGTTTTTTTTATAGTTTTAATTATTTAATTCGAACATTATGTTCCAATTATAATATTTGCAATTCATTTTCTCTAGCTCGTATTTTTGAACTCATGATAAGTGAAATTGAAAAGAATCTCAATCCAAATGGCGAAGAACAAAGCAATTGTGTTGTCGTTTGAGAAATAATTTATTTATTTTTTTCC